AATAGCAAAGATTGCTTTAACTGATGTTCTGAACTATTTGAATTATTAAAATACCATATTCCTGTAATTCTTTTGCAGAAAAGATTTATGTATATACTTAAGTCTTCATTGAGTCAGATACACACTGAAGATCTGGGATCCTACAGTCTCCTAGTCCTTTGGTAAATTCCTTAACCTGTCCTAGTTAATGATGACTATGACCATATAGTAGCTACATCTACGTTGTAGCTTAGGTCAAAGCTTATAACACTTATATTTATAAATGATTCCTTCTTAACATATGTAGCATAATTAAAGGAATGAGTTGTGATCATTGTCAAAAATATTTGTTTTATCCCTTTTCGAATTAAAACATAAAATCTCCTTGTCTGTGAACCCTCGCGGTTTCCCTGCTTTTGAATAATGTCCTTGTTTTAGTTTTGCACTAGAAGAATTTCCCTGGCTTCAACCCCTTCCCATATTGAGCCTAAATCTGGCAGAGCCCACAAGCCAGTGAACCACATCTTTCCCTTTTTTGGAAAGGTGAAACCGCAAGTATGATATTTTGGCAAGTAGGAATCGTTCACCTGGTTCATCCGAGGGCCTTTCAAAGAAAATCATAATACATTTAAACAGTTGTGAATGCCCACAGTTACGGAATGACGTGGCAAATACCAGGTCCGCTCAATCAGAATGGGATGTCAAACAACCCAGGGGCAATACGCACGGCGTTTTGAGTCTTTAAATCTAGGCCAACAACTTTCCAAGCGGAAGAGACATTCGACAGACGGCAGCAGTGAAAGCCGGAGATGCCAGAGCAGCCAGAATCTGGCGGGATCGTGATGCCAGGGCGGAGCTTTTGGGAGCTTCGGTGCAAACATGTTAGGGATGGGAATTAGGGTTTATATAAAGAAAGGTGATGATGGCACACTGGGTGAGACAGGGGGCAGCATGGAAGGGATCTCCCCAGGCTCACACAGGTATTCTACATTCAGCTTGACTATTCACTAGGGAACAATTAAACAGGTTTATTAATGGGTGCAAATTACTTATTTAGGGACAGAAACTAGACTTGTACATTTCTCGACAACCTGTTATCAAAGACCACACATCCTGGGTTAATTTGCACAAAAAATACATCTAAAAACATTGAAAAATGTTCTCCGTTTAAAACAGTACTTAAGAAAATACAGCTGCTGTGGCATTTTATTTATGTCGACGTCACAGTTTACATCAATGGTGCATTGGGGCAGCAATGCTGGGAACAGGCAGTTTATAAAAATTAATGGATTAGTTCTAACTGGCTGCTCCAGAATGTATAGAATTGTAGCAGCTTGAATTCACTTATGAAATGGTCATGAAAAGGTTACTAAAATGTCTTTGGATTGATGTAAAACACAGAATTATTTTCATTTATTAGCACAAAACATTAGCGATCTTTGCTGAATCTGGTTTCACGCCTTGTACATTTTGTGACCTATTTTCAGGGATGGATTATTTTCAAATGAATGGCTCAAAGACCATCTCCCTTGAAATGCAAGCCGGCGGCCCATACTACTCCACACCCACTCACTTTCCAAAGGCCACAGACGCTGATCCAGGGTCAGTTAGAACAGCAACCCAGCCATTCTGCATTCTGTATTTATGCCACGGCCCGTTTGTCAGTCCCGGTACAACCATGGCAAGAAGCTGGACACTGTCACATCACCTGTCTGTTGATTCTCCTTGGTGGGTTTGACTCACCTGTGATGGCAGAGACATCAAACTCCTGTGACACTTCATTGAAGAAGCAGCGAGAAGATGGATGTAGCATTTAGCTTATTGCACATCACCTACATCACCACATTATTCCACAGGTCGAGGCCTGCCTCATATTTCCAGCCTCCCCTTGTTGTTCTCAGCCTAGTGTGGCCTGCAGTTAACTTTTCAAGTGCTACCTGTGTTGTCAGGCAGCTATAACTTTTGTTGGACCGCTTCTCCTGGTGCTCTTATGGAGATGTGCAAAAATACGCATCTATGAATCTATGAAATTATACCAACACGGCATAAACTCTTTTTCTCTAGAGATTTTTCAAGTTATTAGTCAAAATCTGCCTTAAAATGTGCTTTTCCGTCGATTATTTTACATATGCACCATTTATGCATGTATGTTCTGCATGTGTACATGCACGTGTGTTTTATTTCATTTATGTTCAATCAGAGGTCTAAATACTGCCTCCTCTGCATGAGAGATCCTGCAGGTTGTGTCCCCTGAGCATCACGGAATCCCTCCCGCCCCTCATGGAAGGACCCCAAGACCCCGGACACCTGAGTGATAATATCCAAAAGGCCACTCTTATTTATACTGACCACCCTCACTGATTATCTGCTTGTCTTGATGCTCTTTGGATATTGCTTTCACGCTTGTCATTTACACTGTGGCTTTCTAAATATACATGTATAATTAAGATTCTGTCATATATGAATATGAATCTCTATTCGGCACACATATTAACATTTCACCAGCAGTGAAATGCAATTGCCCCTAATCCAGACAGTGCAACGAACACGGCAGGATAACAAAATAGGATAACAAAATAAACCTGTCTGCACCGGGGTGGATGTGTGTGGGGTCCGTGTCAGGTGCGCAGACCTATGCAGCCCAAGATACCGGCACCTACTGACCTTCTCCACTGGAGTCCTGTAAATCTTGAGGGGTGCGTACTTCCTGAAGTGACCATAAAAAATGTCAGTATTCCAGACTGAATCTATAATGAATCTATAATGTAACTTTAATCTATCCATCCATTTTCTGTCCCCGATGATCCAATGCAGAGTCGCAGGGCTCTGCAGCCTATCCTGGAAGCTACAGGCACAAGGTAGGGAATTGGCCAGGATAGGACACCAGCCCATTAGACATACCATCCACACCTCTGGGGTAATTTGGCAACTCCAATTCACCTTAGCATGTTTTTGGACTGTGGGGGGGGGCCCATGACCACACAGAGTCATGCAGCCAAGGCAGAGACTCAAACGCTAATCACTGTGCCACTCCAACTGTAACTCATAATATCCAAATTCCAAGTTTATAATGCAGCGTATTTGAAACAGTACAGTCGGTTCTCTCCGCAGGCGGCTGCTTCGTTTTCCTTGCCTCTGACGACCCAGTGCTTACTTCCCCGTGCGGCTCTAATCCTTTTGGATGGACGCGATCTCCACGTGCCACCTAGTGGTCATATAGTATAATTACAGGACTGCCGTTCTCTTGGGGGCGGGGGGGTTCATCAATGTCTACATCAGACTTATCTGGCGTCGGGTTACTTGGTTTGGCAGGCACACCCTGACAGCCGGATGTCGGCAGGCTTCCACGAAATCCTCGAAATCTTTTCTTTGACTAGTGAAAGCCGAAGCTTGTTAAACGTGCTCCTTTCAGGGTGCAGATAGCGTTTGCGCTTTTTATGCAATCCCCATTTCCGCTATTCACTAGGCGGCCGCGAGGGACTGACATCCCGACAGCTTCGCAGACTCCGCAGGCGTAATTGCCTCTAGTGATCACTGCTGCCGTTTAACCAATTTGTCTCTTATTTCATCTAATGTCCCTCAAGTTACGTAACTAAATGAGTCGATGAATTCTCACAACGAATGAGTCTTTAGCTTCTTTGTAAGAAAGAGGTACGGTCGTGTGTTGCATAACTATGAAGGTCAATGTCCCTGTTTATTACAAATTGGAAAAAAACGTTTAATTTCCACTGGTAATACAAGGGAGTCGATTTTCTGAACACGAAAGCGTGAGATCCGAGCTTTAAGATCAATTGGCAAAAAAGGCCTAATATTAATTTACTGAGCTTTGCATCAGTAAGAAAAAAAAATCAGATAGGCTGTGGAACACTCAATTCTTAAATCTGCACTGTCACTTCATATATTCAGTACTGTTTAAATTGATTAAAATCTTGGGTACAAGCGGTTACAGAAAATAAATGGATGGATGGATTTTGGAAAGGTGCATTGTTTCAATCTTATACAAGAAGAACACAGAAGGAATGCAAATTATTGATATATACCTGACGTAATTTAATATAACTGTATGACTTGATAACTTCAAATTGTTTAGATTTACATCACATCATTACTTTTCTAAAAGTACATTCGTTGTGTGGTATTTTTTTTATTTTATGGTGTCGCAGTGTAGGCCTATCTGATTCCTTATGCTGCTAAGTAATTAGCTTGTATTGCAGTCAATAGGCGGCGCCGTTGTGTTACTTAACAGCGACAAAGCAGCGCGTTTTCTCTGCCTGAACCGAGGACTTAAGCGCCGGACTAGAATCATTTTTGGGTTAACCTGCAATTTTAGAAAACGACTTACCCTTTTTCTAAAACTATTGTGATTAACAAAATATGTTGTTATGCACTTGTTAAGTGTGATGAATGGTATTTTGCTAATGTTACGTATTTGGGTTTCTAAAATAGTGTGACATCAGTCCACGAGACCTTCAACAGCATAAGCATTTGGAAGAAGTGAAAATAGCACTTTGTTTAAGTTAAATTAGTTTTATATACTTTTTAGAAGTGGGTTAGCTTACATTTCGAGTAGGCTACTGGATTCTTGCGAATCGTTAAGGCTGTCAGGTTTTGCAATATTCAAAAGAAGGTGAAATATGCTGTAGCTTAAATGATGCCTTTTAACTCGGAGACTCAATTCACAGGCATTATAGGCATCAAAGATAAGCATAATCTGCAGTCTGAAATCTAACGTGACAAAACTGACGCAGTATGCGGCGTCTTATCCAGAAAAAACTGCGCCTCCACCACTGTCAGGTCAAAATTGTCATTATGAAGGACTGTTTATAAGAGCTGGGGGTATGACGTGAGGTGTGAGCGATACCGACACTGGAGATATGACACCTTTCTGCGTAGCTTTTTTTTTTCTTAAGGAGAGATAGAAAAATTGAGTGCGAGGTAGTTTTTACCCTGTCTCTTTAAGCGACACCAACCTGTGAAATCTCCGTCCATCATATGCGGGCTGGTCCCTCCCTTTCCTGCAGCGGCCGGCCGGAGTGGGGGGTGAATGGGGGAGAAGGCAGAGGGTCATCGGCGAGGAGACTGAGGGGATCTGCGCTGCAAACGCCGCCTGACGTTTCGGGGCTCAAACATGGGATAACTGGCTGATCCCCCCCGATAGCAAGCGGGGCAAAAAATGGGCATCACTTTGACAAATCTGATACTTGACTATTAAGTCATTCTGCCCCCCCTTACCTCTACTTGCGATTCTTTTCTTTTTTGGACGTTTAGTACAATAGAGGAGGCTGGAATTGCTGGAGATGTTATCTGTGCCTCCTGATGAATGAGGACCCTGCGCATGTGAAATAATCCGCCGCGGCCGTTTGAGGGGACCGTGCCCCGCGTTACTTTCGCAGCTGCATTGCCAGAGCCTTCGTCGTGTGAGGCAGGTGTTCATTGTGGCTTTCCGGGCTTGCTCTTGTTTTGTTGTTGTTGTGGTCTTGTTTATGTTGTAATTTCATTCGGTGTTCCGCGGTAACGGGAAAGCGGAGAATGCGCGGAGTCTTTCAGCGGAATTTTTATGCGTCTTCTATTGTTAACTAACAAATCGCTTGACGTTTGATGTTATTGGCACCGATTAAATGGCCACTACAGACAGCGTCTGAGATGAAAACATTAGTATGGACGCTCTGATTGACTAAAAGACGATCCGTGGAATAGCTTGAGAACGGAGGTAGGCTGTTTGTTTTCCCCCTTCTGAATTTACGTTTTGCTTGTATTCGTTTATTTCTTATTTGAGGACGAATTCGAAAAATATAATTTCCCAATTGTATAACTGGCTGTGAAATAATAATATTTGTTTTGTTAGAACAAGTACCATTGGACTATCAACAATGGTGGAGCCGGTAGGCTTTGTGGAGGCATGGAAGGCACAGTTTCCCGAATCTGATCCCCCCAAGATGGAACTGAAATCCGTGGGGGGCATCGAGCAGGAGCTGGAGAAGTGCAAAGCATCCATCCGACGGCTGGAGATGGAGGTGAACAAGGAGCGCTTCCGCATGATCTATCTGCAGACGCTGCTGGCCAAGGAGAGGAAGAGCTACGACCGGCAGCGCTGGGGCTTCCGCGGGGCGTCCCAGCCGAGTGACGGCGAGCGCCCATCCGGCGCTGATCCCCAGCCACCGCACCATGCCCCTGGCCAGGAGCAAGGGCATGGGGACCGAAGCAGATTCCACCCTGTTGGGGAGGAGAGGCCAAGGCCCTGCCCCCCAGCTCCACGCAGGTCCTCCTCTCATGGCGACAGTCTTGAACCCACATTGGCGGGAGAAAGACACCTCCCAGTGGTTGCTGCGGAGATGGACAGGTGTCGGTATTTCGGGGATGGTGAAATGGACAAACTGTCTCCCTCCAAGAGGGGAGGGGTGTCCTCTCGCAGATCGGGGGCAGTGCCCTCCATGCCGTGCGACAAGGATCCTCCACCCGACCCTCCCATCAAAGAGAAGTCCGGCATGGGTCTAGGTGTGGCGGCTCTAAGGTCCAACTTTGAGCGGGCCAAGAGGGCCAATTGGCCCGCATATGGGGACGGGAAGGGGGTTGCCGAGCGGCCTCTCTACTCCAGTGTGGAGTACCACCAAGACAGGGGCTTGGCGAGAGCCAATGACCGCGAAGTCCAGGATGCACACGGTAGCCAGGCCGTGCAGATCGAGCGGCAGCGATCGCTGGCTAGGGCGGCGGCGGAGACCCGCAGGGCTGGGCACCGGGGCCGCTCTGCCGAGGGCCACTGTGGCGGTTACGAGGCCGAGGGGGAGGACGCCGAATCTGACACGCGGCATCCCAAAGAGGGACTGGTCCACGCAAATGGGGGGAAGCCACACCAGCCGCCCTGGCAGCAGACTGAATTCCAGCCCTACCCCGGCGTCTATGTGAGTGAGGGGGACGGGAGGGGCGTGAGCCAGAGGGACCGGGGCGGGGATGAGGCTCCCACCACCTGGCCTCGGAGGTCCTATTCACCGAGGAGCTTCGAGGACGTCGGCGGCGGTTACACGCCTGACTGCAGCTCCAATGAGAACCTGACATCCAGCGAGGAGGACTTCTCCTCGGGCCAGTCCAGCCACGTGTCGCCCAGCCCCACTGCCCACCGTCCCTTCCCAACGCGGGAGAAGAGCCGCTCGCCATCCCAGAATTCCCAGCAGTCCTTGGACAGCAGCAGCCCCCCCACCCCTCAGTCTCAGAAGCGTCACAAGCACCACGTCCTGGTGTCAGAGGCGGCCGTCGTGGGCGTTAGGAAAACCGGGCAGATCTGGCCCAACGATAGTAACTGCACCCTGTCCAGCAGGACTTCACATGACAACAGTTTCCATGGAGACGTAGGTAAGCGCTCGTCCTGTTTTTATTGTTGTTTGGAGATTGATTGTGGGGGGAGTAAGAGGTGCAACGGGAAGAGCAGGGCCCTTCAGAGAGGAGGAGGGGTCCTGTTATCAAGTGGCTAACACCGAGGGGCATCCAGCCTCACAGAAATCGAAGGCCCTTTTCATGAATAGAAAGCTTTTTCTGGCCCAAGCATCTCTGAATCACTGTTGGTCCTCTAGCGAATTCTTATGTTTACTTTTTAAGTGATTGATTTATTACTATATCTATTGTTTTTATACTGCAGGTTTGTTTCTGTAGCTCTACCAGGAAGACCAGCTTCCAAATGGAGTTAGACATTAGACTCCTTGAGTGATAAATGGATCAGTTCCTTTAATTTTTTTTGAAGCTGTTGTTTAACTGCAGCTGAGCTGCGGGAGTGCTGGGGTCTTTTAGGGGTCTTTTAGGGGTGTAGTAGTGTACAGTCTTTGTTTCCAGTTTCTGATGGAACGTCTGCAAGAGCTGCATAAAGATGGAGGTTCTGGGTGGGATGCAGGCAGGTAGTGGGTCTGTCCTTGTGGTGAGGGTGTGTGACAACACAGATCAGTGTCGCAGGTTCATCGGATGGGAGAGCAGTGGGGGGCTTTGTGTTGGGGGGGCAGCTGGTCCGCTCCCTTGGGTTTCCAGACTGTTGTTGCTGAACATTCTCGCCCAAAGTCAGCTGTGGCTTTGCTTTGCATGCTCCCCCTTGTGGCCGTAGATATGCAGTGGGTTGAGGGCCGCGGTTAATTAATAAGTAGCCGTTTGCGGTCAGCGGTCTCCTGAAAGCAAAGCGAATGGCCTCAGAATCCTTTCCCAGAACTCCAGCCTTTTGCTAATGGGCTGTTGATGCGCAGACATCCTCAGCATCACGCACGTGCCTGAGCAAGCAGACTCATCTGTTGAATGAATCAGAAGCCTCTTCTTTGGCTACTCGGTAAACTTCAGTGGGTGCATTTCTTTCTAGAGGCAGCCTTTGTTTTTACTGTGCTGTCTCTGTGCTGGGGGGGGGGGTCACGTTGAAGAGGTGCTATTCAATCTGTTATGCTTTGTTGTGAAGCGCTTAATTCATGACATGGCGATCCATTGCTGGGAATAAAATTTCCCTTTCTCTAGCCTGCGGGTTAAGAGAAGGTCCCTCAATGGTCCATGAACTCTCCCATCGCTGCGCTGGGAACTCACATCCAGTCTGTCACTTCGAATCACTTATTTCTGAAAGAGTTCTGTTGCCTGCGTATTAATCCTAATTGGTTGTTTAAATTGGTTAATTTGCCTGTTGACTGGATTGCTTTGCCTTGAGAATCTGTGTGATATGCGAGATCCTCTGGGTTGGAGCTGTGGTATTTTTAGAGGAGACTGGTGAAAGTGAGCAGAGACGTGTTCAGTGTGTCTGAGACGGTCAGGAATGATCCAGAACATACCCAAGGACGGCACCATCAGGTGTTCCAGCAGGGGTTCCCAAGCTCCACCCGAATCACGGTAACGGCTCGTGGAGAAGGTTCGTGGAAATCATCTCCCTCTTTGGTCTTGTTCATGAAGCCAAGCTGTGGCACCTCCTGCTATGGGGTGGGGGCAGTATAGGGGGGGCTTCGGTGGGCATCGGGTCAACTCAGCCTAACCACGCAAAGACGGTCTGCTTCTTAATGTCTACTGTGGTTTCGAACGCTGAGTAGAACAGGCAGCCACCTGTTGGGATGGTGTCAGGGACTGCAGCCATATCGCCTCATGCGTACAGTATGCACCCTAACCCTTTCCACTAAGATCTGAGCCTGCTTGGAAGGGAACGGCAGCAGATGACTGTCTTTTACACTTTATTAAGAGCTTCGTAGCAGGAAGGATGGTCTGGAAAGTCTCAGCATAATGTGACTTTGGCTTAGAGTTCGCTTAAAGGTTTTTGGGAAGCAGAAACCAGTAGGAGATGTAGTTCTCCGTGAGTTAGTGTTTACGTGTGTTGTAACCATCTTACAGCTAATACATACAGCTAATGATGATGATGAAGTGAAGTATTTACTAGCTTTTTCACACCTGTGGCCTGTTAGCACTGCTGGCGGTTTCCGGGAACACTTTGTAGTATTATGTAGTACGAAGATTTGAATAACTTTGTGTAAACTTAACTGTACTGTAATAACCCTGTCAGTACTGTTCAGCAGTTGGGGTGAAACCTAAAGTGAATTTTTTTAAACCTGTCATTCGCTTCTGACATCAGAGTTTTGTTTCTTTTGTGTTAGCGGTGTGTAAGCCCCACTTTTGCGGCCATGGAAATCGGTTGTCTGATACTTTCTCCTCTTCCCGTCACCCTTTGGCTTGGATGGTGCTAACCTGGCATGTTATGTCGTCGTTGGCAAGGCGTGGTATGGAAAGCCACCTGATCGGTCCTGGAGGACAGCTGCTTTATTCCGTGCGGTGGTTTCCGCCCATGCGCTGGCGGCCCCCCTCCTGGCTGGTTTCCACGGTAGCTGCCGTAGGTGTAAACAGGGCTGCTTGTACTCGCTCTGTAATCACGCTGCGGCTCCCTGAGGCCGTGGTTGGCAGAGGGACCTCTTTGTTTGCGACCGTTGCTGCTGCTGCTGTTGTTTTACTTCATTCCGTGATGGTGGGCGCAGGGCAGCACGTCCAGACGGTCTGGCGTGCAGCTCACGGCCCAAAGTAGTAGTCGCTGTTAATTAAAATGTAAACATTTCTTTCAGACCCGCATATGGTTTCTTAGGTCATTCTTTCTCCTCTGAGTGCTTAATATGCTTTGTAATGTTGGGTACAATAAGCAGCCAGTTTACTCCGGATGAACGCAAAAGGCTGTCGTTTTAAGGGCGAGAGTCTGGTATGAGGAGGAAACCACGTGACGGGTGACTGTGTCCCAAGGATGGAGGCCTTTTTCCATGGCAACGGTTCAGTCAAACTTCGAAAAGGACTGTGTGGGTAATTAAGGGGGAAAAGAAGTTTGGAAGTTGGGGAAAAAGAAGGTGGATGCGGCATTGTTTTGGTGTTAAGGAGCAGATGGAGGAGAGAGGCTCTGCAGGCCTTTAATGTCCAGGGTGATGGAGTTTGTTGGCTTCTGCTGCTGTTCTGTTCCAGTTGGTCGGCTTGTTTTCCTGCCTACCTGAGGCGAACCCAAGAGGCTTGGTATGTGATGTTTGGGGTGGGGAAGTGCTCCCTGTTCCTCCATAGCAGGTTGTGCGCGCCTGCTGAGGGGGTGCCCAGGTATGCCTGTTACCAGAGGAACGGGGGGGAGGTGCTTTGTCTGGGTTTTTTGTTACCTGGGAATCAATTTCTTTTTGGATCGCTTGTGATTTATAAATTTGGCTGTAAGATGTTTTCAGGCAGGATATTTTTGTTTCCCAAACAGCGGAGGTATAGTAACGTAGCTTTTTTTCCATGGTAAATGAGTTAATTTCACTGGTTACTCCCATCATGGTGAGAGGCACTGTATCAGGCTCTGGGGTTGGGTAGGTGTGTCTTTTACTGCCCTGTGGTTGTGTTTGGGCCCAAAATGTGTAAACGGGGCGCATTCCACTCCCAGCTGTGAGTCAGCACGGTTCTGCCAGCCCTTCTTTAGAGGCTCTTTCTGACCCTGGGTCCGGGTCCCCCTCCCTAATTAGCTACTGGTGAACACTTTGAAAGCCAATGTGTATATATTTCACTGTATTTCCATGGAGCAATAACCACAAGAGTTAGACTTAAAGTTCAGTATTTCAAGGTACTATCAAATGTATTTTTTCAGTATTTTAAATTGTTAATGGTCTATATAGAAGGTATGTGAACTTGATTAGTCTGAAAAATGCCCAGAAACGGTTTTACAGACCCATTTGGGCCTAGAATGAAACGGGCTGTTTTGGCTTTTTTTTGGTGGGCTCAGTAATATGTTGATAAGCTCTGCTCTGATTGGCTGCTTTACAGTGCGGCACTACAATGGCTCACGCAGACCCAATATCGCTAGTCATGCGGCGCATAAAGACGTTTTAGTCAGGGAAGGACCACGTTTACGACCGCGGGCCGTAAGATTATACCGCAGCTGAAAAATTCGAGCCGCCTAGTTACGTCAACATTTCTGCAGTAATGCTGGTATAAACAAACCTACTGCGTTGCCACTTGTATAACAGAATAGCACATATAATTATATACAGCACATAATACTTGATAAAGCAGTAACATAGTTACTATACTGTATTTTATCGTTATTTTAGACTGTACTCGTTCTACAGAAGCAAATGCTCTTGCTTCAGCTGAGGTGCAACATTAGCATGACCGTAGCATTATAAACGCGACGTGTCGGATTTGGGCTAATGCTTTAAATGTTTTTTAACCTCGGTATCAATCAGATGTTAATCAAAAGTAGACTGTGGGAAGAACAGAAGCCTCCTAGTCAATGTCAGTATCACAGACTTTGTAATGTTGTTTGCTGCTCCCCTGCTAACCACGGGTACGTACCTTCTCATCCTACTGGTAATAAATATCCTTACATCAATTCTTGCTCACTAAGTGCACTTGTAGAAACTCGGCACGCATGACCCTCGAGAGAGAATTTAAGTCTCAGGTTGTGCAGGTTCACTGGGCTTGAAGGTTGGGGGGGGTAGTTACATACATAGCAGTGCAGGATTTTTGAATCACCCCGTCTTACCATTTTCTTTTACATATGCAGGATTTATATTTGAAAGAAAGGAACAACAGTGTTTGAGATTAATGGTAAATCAGTTCAATGTACCAAACTGTCCTTATTCAACTCTCCCGAGGTCTATGGCACCTTCAAGGTGGGAGGCTGAAGTTTGTTGGACAGCTCATGGATAGTTGGGTCTGAAAGCTCTCCCTGGTGCGCAGCCACGCTAGACGCCACCAACCCATGTGACTGTCTTAGCTGCCCATATCACCCCAGAGTCCAGTTCATTTGGCTACGCCGTACCGCCATACTGGTAACGGTACGCAGAACTATGCCCAGGCCCGCTTCAAGAGGTGGGCCGAGACACGGTTCAGTTGGAGTCGGGCACGGTACG